TGTAATTAATTTCTCATTTAAAAAAAATTCTTAATCTTAAAAAAGAAATTTAATGTGAAAATAAAACATATTTCCTATAAACTACATTTAAAATAGCTTTAACCACCAAATCAACCCTTTCCAAAATAAATAAAATAAAAAAAATCACACTGTGACAGAGTGAGAAATAGTATGACAAAGTGGAAGACTGTGACAGGGTGGATGTGGATGTGAGAAAGAGTGCCATCAATGACAATAATTCCACCCCTTCACACTAGACCCTGGAATGTGAGAGGGTAGGAAAATTCATAGTACTATGAAAAATATTAAAAAGTAATGTGGCCAAAATTCTGTTGTCAAAGTTAACACTACACTGAAAGTGAGGTGTGAGAGGTGTGTTCTGTCTTTAAAGCCATCAGAGCAGCTGTCTATGTGTCAGCAGGACAACGGTAGGACAAAGAGTATTTACCAGTTCGACCAATAAGACAAGTGATTCATAGTACTATGAAAAATATTAAAAAGTAATATGGCCAAAATTCTCTCTGTTGTCTACACTCATGGGAAAACAGACTGAAAGTGAGGTGTGAGAGGTGTGTTCTGTCTTTAAAGCCATCAGAGCAGCTGTCTATGTGTCAGCAGGACAACGGTAGGACAAAGAGTATTTACCAGTCCGACCAATAAGACAAGTGTACTGGACAAAAACAGTTTGTACGTAAGATCATCAGGAAGAAATCACATTTTTATGTAGCATATACATTTATTGATTTTAATGATTTTCCCCAGCTCATTACAAAGGGAGAAAGTGAAAGTGAAACACAAGCGTTTTGTGTGATTTATACATCTGACTGTGGAGATTGATATATTAAAATAGACATGATGCATAAATAACATGAGAGTTCTACAGGAGATGCTTGTGTCTCGAATTCAGTGTGGATTGATTCATTTGATATATTGGAATTTTATCTGCAGTGAGACGCGTGTAGAAAATACTTCCAAAAACACTTCCAGTGTGGATTAGAGGTTAGCATGCAGTTAAATGAAAATGTTTTTATACAAATCTGTTTTGAAAATTTAAATTTTGAATGATAGGGTGAAAATATTATGTTTAATTGAAAAGATTTTGAAAGAAAAATGTACCAAAACATGTTCTAAAAAAAAGAGTCCAGTCTCGCCAGCATTTGAATTTGTCTTCTTCAAACCCATACTGTAAATGATATACCGGTACTTTTATTGCTGTTATTTAATGGTGAGAAATAATTGGTGTGAAGGGATGGAATGTTAAGCTTATGGACGTACATATAGTAAGTCATGATATTTAAAAAAAAAATTTTAAATTTGAGATTAATGCAGCATACCTTGTGTGTTACCACACATAAATGTGAGAAACCGTCAGAACGGACATTAGAGAATGACAATAGTTTAATAGAAAACAGTAAAAAATATTAAAATTGTAATTTTATTATTTAATTTTATTTTACCTCATGTTAATATGAACACTTTATGATTAATTCCTTTACCCATTGAAAACATTATTGACAGGTTTATACTGCCTTGTTTTTGCCTTTAAATGTTGGGGGCACAGACACGTTTAAACTTGCTATTGATTTAAGCAAAGCTATCATTTTATGTCAAGGAGTGACCGAACAAGTTCAGGTTAGGAAAACAAGAAAGAATTATATTTGACAAACTCCAGGCTGACTTTTTCCAAATTTTAACCCTCATCAGCAGCAGGTGCTTGCTTGGTTGTCATGGTGAAAGAGCAAGGTTTTGGTGAAAACTATGGAAAACCTTTTCTGTAACAAATGCTTATGGGAAATTATTCCCATAATGACAGACAATTTACAGGTCAACCCCTGTTATCGATACAAATATCATAGCAAACAGCTTGATCCTCAGAAAGCTCTCAAAATAACGTTTGTGTTTTCATAAATAATTGTGTTCACTTCTCTGTGTACAGCATAACGTAAGTGTCCTGACAGCACTGATTTTTATTTAGGGGTGTTTTTTTTTTTCTCCTCCTTTTTTTTCTTCTCTCCTGCTGTGGAGAGAGTGCTTTTATCTCACAGCAAGAAGGTTCCGGGTTCGAGCCCCGGCCGACCTGATGTCTTTCTGTGCAGAGTTTGCATGTCCTCCCTGTGTCGGTTCTCTCCGGGTACTCCGGCTTCCTCCCACAGTCCAAAGACATGCGGCTTAGTTTGATTGGTGACTCTAAGTTGCCCCAAGGAGTGAGTGTGAGTGTGTGCGGTTGGTTGTCTACATGTCAGTTCTGTGATAGACTAGCAAACTGTCCAGGGTGGACCCTGCCCCTTGCCAAATGTCAGCTGGGATTGGCTCCTGTTCAGGAATACGTGGTGTAGATAATGGATGGATGGATGGATGCTGTGGAAAGCAGTGACTGCAGGAACACGAGTTACATTTTCCATTTGATTTAGCTCCTCATCAGTGTACTTCTCGTAATGCTCTAGTAGATGGCCCTCATTTTCTATTACTTCTCCAGCATGTACTCAGACTAAATTGACTGCACGGATCAGGGGCTATTCCGATATATGTGTAATAGGCTAGTCCAAGGGCCTGCTATTGTGTTTGCTTTTGTTTGGATGTAAAGACAAGCATATTACTCTCTGCTTATTATGAGAACTTAAAGTAACAATACTTTTTTACATTTAAACATCAGCTCCAAATTTATTTTGATCATAGGCTGACACCTAATTAGGTGAACGGCATCTTTAGTAAAACAAAAAAACTGCCTTTACTCTGAGTATTCATCTTTGATGTCACAGTAAAGAAAACAATGCATTCATATTTGTATAAACTCCTGTAATATTACTTCACTATTCTATGGCTTATGACATTTTCTTTCTAGGTTCAATAACAGCTTCAACTTGTAAACAAATGCACATGTGTGCTACTGCAACTAGTAATTAAGACAGCTCAACTCAGTTATAGTCAGCAGCTGTAGGGGGAGACAAACTGCCAATTTAAATATTGTTGCTTTAGGGAGTAACAGTTTCACTTCTGACCACACCAGTATCATTGCTTGTTGTTGTGTGCTCTGCACCAAACCCCACAGTGATGTCACAGTGTACACTGCAGCAAAAAAAAACAAACTAATTTCTCAGCCAAGTGCATGATTAAGCCTTGATTGTACTTCAGGGTGATGTAGAAAGTGGACAACACTTGTACACACTTCAGTCCTACAGTCAGGGGTATGCACATGCAGACATGTTACACATATGCACACTATTAAACATTATAGCAGCCTCCTGACAAGTAAGAAAAGATCTACTGTCTCTTGAATGTGTTGTATAACATCAACAACGACAAAAAAAAAAACATGAATGCAGTACTTACACACAGAGCACTACAATATGAGAGTCCACTTTCAAACTTATGTCATGTGGATATTCTGCATGGTCACTTCATGTAGCTGTCCACAGAGGGATCTGTGGACAATGTGCCTGTTTTTGCTATTATTTGTTTAGTACTAATCACCACTTGTTCCCTTCTCTTTGCAGGAACGTCAGTTTTCCAGGTGACAGCCTCAGATGCAGATGACTCGACCTATGGCAACAGTGCCAAGATAGTATACAGCATCCTGGAGGGACAGCCCTACTTCTCAGTTGACCCCAAGACAGGTACAGCTGCTTTTGTGTTTACTTTAAAGACATTTTAACTGCTGCAGAGAGAAAGTTCAGAGACAGAGGCAACTAGGGAGCATCTAGCAGAAGCAGTACAATAAATAAGCTAATGGTGCCCAAAGCCAAGAAAAGGACTGTGATTTTTACTTTACTGGAAAATCTGTGATGAAGGGGCTTTGTAGATAGCATGTAGTGATGCATGTGGCATGTTCCTGTAAACTGCTTTCAGCACCGGAGCCAGATCTTTTAGGAAAGGAGTGTCACGAGCTGGGGAGGCCCTTTAAAAGAAGATGATATATTCAACTGAGTGTGCAGTTGACTCCTTTATAATTCATATTTTAATCACATTGTTAGAATATCACAGTGCCATACAGATGACTCTCAGCTCTTAAGAAAGAGAGGTGAAAGAACCCGTCTAAGACGAAATAGTGCAGTTGTCTGTTCAGTAACATATTATAGTGCAATGTCTCCATACAATCCGTGTCCACTGAGATGCCACAGTGGCTTAACGGTCACAGTGCCGCATGAATTCCAGTGTCCTTGGTTGGGGGCCTTGTTTGGGTGTCTTTCATTCGCTCTCTGTTCTTCTTTCCTCTAACCTCTCTGTCACTGTCAAAACATGGACCAAAAAGCCTGAATTCTGTGTTCTTTACCTGCAAACACTTTACTTCTAGTTTGGTTTTCATGTCTAATGTATTTATGTATTCAGCATGCAGTGCATCTAGTTTAGAGTAAGAACAATTCTTAATCACAAGGGTTTGCACAGGAATATGTATCTGTGGTCTGTGCACATTTCATGAATCTGACCAAGAGTTTTCCAAACAAATTTAAATGAATACATTTAAAAACATTTATAAAACAGACCCAGGAATTAAAGTTAGTGGAACAGACGCTATCCTCTGAGTAGGCGTCACTCTGGCTCTCTATACACCCATCCTCAGCTGTTATACAGTATTTGCCTTCCTTTTCAAAGACATGTATCCACTTGAGTTGTGTTAGTGTCTAAGTTCCTGTACTTTGTTAATCAGCTTTGGTTGCCTGGGGTGGGAGGACTGTTGTTTTCATCATTTAACTGATGAATAAATAAAATTTTTGAACCACTGACAATAATCTTTGGTTTAAATAAAGGTTTTATCTAAAACATCACTATTGTCAAAAAAGAATTTGATCTGAATCTAAGATCTGCAAACCTCCAGGTTCACTGACAGAATTTAGAAAAGATTTCTTTCTTCTTTTCAGTTACATCTGTCAGTCTTCTCATGGCAACAGTAGCATATGATAGTGATAACTGTGCAATTTGGCCAGTCAAAAAAAATTAAAGATAAAGAGCCACTTTCTTGCTTAGTGCCTGGAGTGTTCAGAGCACTCAGTAAATATACAAATTTACAAATATTCAAACACTGGCCTGGGCCTTATCAGTACAGGGAACCAGGCATTTATTTCTAATGTATTTGTTGTGTGTTAATGTAAGCTCAAAACGTCCTCCATGTTTCTCAGTTGTCTTGAAAAATCTAGATAATGTCCAGTCCATGGCTCCGATTCCATCATTACAAAGCCATGTCAGGCATTCTCCTTTATTAATGCTACCATAAATGATACGCAACACTTCCTCCAGGACCTTTACATTAAAGTACTGCAGCCTTCCCTTTATAGGTAAGCTATTAATGTGAACAAACACCAGAAGGCCTTCTGCTTAATGCAAGTCATGATTAAGGCAATGAAAAAAGACTAGAATTATTCAGGGTTTTAAAACATCATTTCTGTGAAAACGAAGACGCAGAGCAGCTGAGTGCTGAGTATGATACAACTATGCCATTGTACTAAATGAAACAGTGCTGTGGAAGTGTACATTATACTGAATTTGCCATTTGATCTGTTGTAATAAGCTTTCAGTAATTTCACCCCTTGTAATCTACAGTATATTTCAGAGGTGCAATATTCTTATGTTTATTCTATAATAGGCTGGATTTACATTTGTCATACCTACTGCTCTGCCTCTTCACGGTCCATCAACTTCTTCTCACCTCACTCTATGACCTCACATGTCACCCTGCAGTTTTAATATGCAGTACATACAATGGGACATCAGAGGAGAAGGAAACACTGCACATCTTTTAATTAAAGATGAGATTTGAATCTGGTCTTAGAATGATCAGTGGTAGCCTTTGTAGTTTACTTTATCTGATGTGCAGCACAGCTTCTGTGAACTGAGTGGACTGTAAACATCGAATGACTGTGACTTAACGTGTTAGAAGAGATGGAATGAAACCAGCTTTTTCCTCCCCAGCACTGCTTTTTGTCCCGGTATTTTTCTTCCTGCCAAATGAACACTTTCCATAGACGCTACTTTGTCCATTAACAATGAACAAGGAAAAAGGCCTTGCAGAGACAGTGTACAGTGCCTTCTGTCAAAGTGTTTTTGAAAGCACATTCCATTCAATGTGAGTGGAATTAACTGGAGACAGACACAGTACAAAGACACAGTAGCACACTGTCTGCATGGCCAGTGTTAATGTGTGTTCCCTGTATATAAAGACGGTGTCATGATGAGACAGCCTGAAAGCAAATCCAGTTATTTCAGTTTTGCATCATTTCATTTATATTTACATAGCACTTATTGTGTTCCCAGTTGAGGAGAATAGATGATACGTATGTCTGTTTACTGCTTCGGGCAGAACAAAATGCAATAAATAATGTAGTATCCTGCACTCACTGCACCTAGCACAGTAGTTTTCTTTAATGTGACTGTCATTGTTTATTCATTTTCACTTTCACTAATGACAACGATGTCAGGAAAAAAGCTACTTAATTAGTCACTTTTACATATACAATCAGTTGGAAGTTTATTAAGTACACCAAGCTAAAAGTACGACCCCAAATCAAAAACATTTGGGACAGAATGTAAAATCTAAATTAAAACTAAAAATAGTGATTAGTAAATAATCTGTCTCCTGTATCACATTGAAAACAACACACCAGCACATTATTTGATGTGATACCTCATCAGTTTTATTCTTTGTTCAAATTAAACACTTCAATCCAGAAGTGGAAGTTCCCTTTGCCAAGGGCACTGACACAACCCCAGACCATGACAGATCCTGGCTTTTGGACTTGATGCTGCTAACAGTCTGGATGGCCCTTTTTGTCTTTGGTCTAGAGCACACAGCGTCCATTCCTTCCACAAAAGACCTGAAACACTGATTTGTCTGACCACAGTACACGTTTCCACTGTGTGATGGTCCATCCCAGATGCCTCTGAGCCCAGAGCTTCTGGACACAGTTAACATAGGGCTTCCTTTTGGCACAGTACAGTTTTAAGGATAATCACCAAGCATGTTACACACACAAGGAATTTGTTTCTGGTACAGAAGCAGCATTTATGGATGTAACTACATACTGTAGTGCCTGACACAGGTGTGCCAAAGTCATCCTGAGCCCATGTGGTTATATGTTTAAAGAAAAGGGACAATTCTTGATTCAGTGCCGTCTGAGGGATCAGAGAGCTCGGTCATCCAGCTTAGACTTGTGCCCTTTACACACTGAAATCCCTCCAGATTCCTTGAATCTTTTAATGATGTTATGCACCGTAGATGGTGACAGATCCAAATCCCTTCCTGTTTTTTTTAAGGAACATTGTTTTTAAAGATTCCAATAATATTCTCACTGGTGCCAATCCCAGGTGACACTGGGGGAGAGGCAGGGGCCACCCTGGACAGGTCACCAGTCTATCACAGGGCTGAGATGTAGACAAACAAGCAGACACACACACTCCCACAAGCAATTTAGAGACACCAATCAACCTAAGTTGCATGTCTTTGAACTGTGGGAGAAAACTGGAGTACCCGGAGAGAACCCACACAGGCAACAAGTACTGTAGAACATGCAAACTCCACGCTGGAAGGCACGGGTCAGCCGGCACTTGAACCTGGAACCTTCTTGCTGTGAGGCGACAGCCTTAGCTACAGCAAACTACCATGCTGCAGTACAATTCAGTGTGGTACCACAGTCTTCAAACATACAGATGAATCAATATCTATTTAAGACTGAACAAAAACTGAAGGTTCACCTTCATGGGGGGAGATTTTATAGTAGGTATACAAAATATACCTAATAAACTACCATTTGCTGCTGAATTTATCAATACAAAGTGAAAAGTGAATCAAAATGATGATAATATGAAGAGAATTCAACTTTCATGCACTCATGTGTGACCTGCAAGTGGCTCTGTGTTGTGAAAGCAATGGAACTCTCATTTTGTGTATTCAAACCTTGTCTTGCATAGTGTTAGCAAATCAAACCTGTATGACATCCTGATAGCAAAATGTGATAGTGATATATATTTTGGCAGCTATATTTGCTGTCAGGTCTAAGGAGAAATCTACCTTCATATTTCCTGAATATATCATTAAAGTGAAAGTCAGCCCAGAATCTTTGGAGTATCAAGCATCCACCCCCTGTAGATATGAAAGGTGGCTCTGAAAAATTTATAGCTTACTTTTTCTTGGATGACAGTTGTAGTCGGCTGGATTCACAGCAGTTTACATGGCTTCCAAAGCTGGCTCGTTTCTAAGTGGAAAAACTATCAAAACAAAAACTTCGCACACCACTTTTTCAGGATAACCTACCTCTCTGCTGTCAGTATTTTCAGAACACTCATATTTTTCACAGCGTCCATATTGATTCTCCCACACAAACCTTGTGAGCAAGTGTGTGTTGTATGTGTGTTGATTTGTACACGGTAGAATGCCCAGCTTCTGTTTTTCAAATGATCAGTTTATTCCTGGGCAACATGTGGATTTTTGAATGCACAGACAAAGCAGACAGTGCAGGTTTAGTAACAGCAGTCTTTGCTTCATGCAGTGCAGACTGTGAACTGTTGTGTAGATTTTTGCACTTTTGTGCACATAACTTACAAGCCTTCACAGTTCTGTAACAGAATGAGAGCTCCAATCCAAAAACTCATTTGGGATTAGCAGAAGGATCCGACTGGGAATGCC